CCGGATGTGTGGACTTCAGTCCCCAAATTTCTCACCCAGCATTGCCATTGCTGAGAATTCTGGGAGTTGAAGTCCACCTGCAGAATTTTGCATGTGTAGCTGCATTGCCTAGAGGCAGATCTTGGGCTGTGACAGGACAAGGCAAAAATTAAACCTCCCCCAGCCAGTCAAGAATTCTTTTAGAACAGGCACAGTTGGGCTGCTAATTTGCCTTTGACAGAATAAGAAAGAAGTGATATTTCAGAAAATGTCTGTGAGGAGGAGTAAGTCTTCTTGAGTCACAGAATTCTCTAACAATCTCAATTACTCGTAATTGTCTCAGAAGCCATCTGCCAATTTTAATATCCCATCTGTTAAATTGAGACAAAGTAGCAGCCTCCTTCAGAAGGACATTTGGAGAATGGAGAAGACAGTGGCACTATAGAAGCAGCAATAGTGATACATTGAAGTACAAGGCAGAGGACATTATTCCCAAGAAATAGCAGAGGACAGAAAGGGGACTCACCGTGGGACCCAACATGGAGCAAAAAGGATATGAAGCAACTGTGCCTTCTCAGTAATCCCTCTATCCAAATCATGCCCAATTAGAGGCTGAGAATTAAGTAACAGCTGTGTACAGATATGTTGACAACTGGTACAAACCATTTAGATAAGACATGTACAACTCTGAAAGAATAAAAGACCAATTATTTAGCAGTCTTCTCCAACATAGAATCACCAAATGTATTGGGACTGTAAGTCCCAGAAAACCCAGATATATGTCCTGAATTTTTGAGAGGTGGATACCTTAGGAGTACAGTAGGTTGGAGAAGCTAAAGAATGGTGTATAGCTGACCACCAAATCATGCTAAAGATTCCTCCACTGTATGCATTTTGTTTGCCTGCCTTTTCTATTTATAAAAGGTATACCATACCTATGAAAGGTATAGGTATAAAAGACATTGGAAAACTGATGTAAAGGGTTCAAAATTCATCATTCATGATACTTTCTCTTCAGTGTGAGAAGAGGGTGGGTACATGGGTGGGTGTTTTTTTTTTTTTAATTTCTTTTTACAAGATGTATTATTTCTCTTGTTCAAAGGACATTTAAGGATTGGACAGTTTTGTTACCTCTTGTTCTTTTACTGTTACATTTTCATCTTCTTTGGCACCACATTTCAAGTGGTTCTTGTTTCCTTTCATTTTCCTTACTGATTTTGCTTTCCATCAATATAGGCCATGCCATCCTTATGTGGAGCACTTCATTCGGTTAATCAGTTGTGATAGTTAATTAAAGACTGCAATCAGTTTAAAAAGTGAAAATTAAGCTGCTGTTTAATTTATTTATTGCACTGTTTCCTGCTTTTCCTCAAAGGAGCTGAAGGCATTCCATATGTTCCCCTCGATCATTAATCCTGTCTTTACAACAATTGACTGGCCCAAGTTCATCCAGCAAGCTTCTTGGTTAAAGAGAGCACTGGGGTCTTTATTTGAAAGTTCATATGCTTTTCCATTGCTTTCATGCTTAGAAATCAGCTCAAATCTACATTAGCCCTAAAACTGATCTTTGAAGGGTACTTGTTTTGACAAAAGCTCAGACAAAACATACCATTCAAAGTTGCTTCATGAAGCAACAGAGCTCTTCACTTCTAACTGTGAATAGAGTCATGCTCTTCCATTGCAGTGAATGGGAGGAAAGTCAGAGAAGGGCAGAAAAGAAATGGTAGAATATTTTACTCAGCCAAGTAAATACCGATCTGGACACTTCTTTGTAACGAATGTGGGGCAGAGAGTTAAAGGAACTTGGAGGGAGAGACAATTAATAGTGGATGGTTGACAAATGAGAGAGTAAAAAGAGGGAATGGAGAAGAGAGGAATAGAATTTACTCTTTGTGCATAGAGGAATAGGTGTGTTTACGAAAAGATGAACATTGGTAGATCTTATGAAAAAGCAAAATCTTATTCTGTACCTAAGCATGAAGTTCTCTACTTTTCAAGAGAAACAACTTTTTTTTAATATCATCTGTTTAGATTTAATTACCTAATTAAAGGTTTACCTTTACCTAAACCTAATTACCTAAACCTAATTTAGGTTTAGTTTTCATCATTGATAAATGGTCCCTTAGTAAATGAGAGACAGTCTATAATACCTCTCCTCTACCTTTTGCAAGCCTAAGATAATGCATTATCAGAAGAAGAGCTGATAGAAGAGAAAATAACATCAGTATAAGAACTATACATTTATGATCTGGGGGTTGTGGCAGCAGGATTTTAAACTGTATTCATTTATCCCCCAGATAAATTTAGAAAGCAATAATTGAGCAAATAAATAAGTCTGGCTGCAGTGGCAATTACAGAAATACAGCCTAATTCTTCATTCTGCCTTCCCAGTATCAACCTATTATGCTTTTTGCAATGGCAGCCAATGTGCCCTGCTGCCTCTTCTTATGTTGTCATCTTACCCAAAGTGTGATCATGTGGAGTAATTTGTAAGAAAAATCTTCCGGCATTTAACACTTTTCTTTTCAGAAAGCAGGTTTCATAAAACCATTTCTTTATCTTTGATAAATTAGTTAAAGCTTTAAGTCCCAACTGTCTGCTGCATAAAGCCATCTATTGTGTTTGAGTCAATGCAGTTCTCACAGGTAGTTAAGCTGAACACTGATTTTATGCTTCAAAGAATTGCATTACTACCTTAAAGGTTTTTCAATCAATCAATCAATTAGCCAATTGGTTAATCAGTTAACCAAACCTCAAGAGCCACTTATTTATAAATTCCCGCCAGTACATGTACACTGATCTGTTTATTTTTATATCGCCATTACTGTATATTCTCTTCTGTATCTGAGGAACATCATATTAGCAGAAACAGTCCTGTAATCTTTAACCAATATGTAAAAAGTAATATGCTATATTTTAAAAACAGAATGCTGGAATAGCAGTTCTCTTTGCACTCATATTATTTTACTTGGTTATGTAATATTCAAAAGCCAAATAGTGTGTGATCTTTTCCTAACTATTTCATAAAATGCATAAAAGTGGTATATTGAAGAGGATGGCAAAAATGGAAAGAAGATACATCTCTCCTGTTTTCTTGACTTATATTTTCTTGACTCAGGACCAAGGACAGCTCCGAAGAAAATGGGATGCTGTACAAAGATGCATCTAATAACCTCCTTCATTTTTTTAAAAAAATACATATCTTATTGTTATGTTTTAGTTGAAATCCATTACATTATATGATTTTTAAGTCCTAAAGAAAAAGTTTTCACTAAATTTTATTGTTGTTTGGTCACTTCTGACTCTTCATGACCCAATGCTGATAATTTTGCTAGGATATCTGAGAGTCAGTTTGGTGTAGTGTTTAACATGCTGACCTGGACAGCAGGAAGTTGTGAGACTGTTTTCCACTTTCTGTTTGGACTGAAATTTCTATCATCCTTAGCCAGCATGGCCAATGTCATCAGCTTAGAGAATAATTCTGATTTTTCATAAACATCCAGCTGGCTACAATTGGAAACAGACTGCTGATCTAACACAGCCCTCGGGTTTTGATCCAACCATAGTAATTTTTGTTCCCATTGATAACTGGTAATTCCACTCCATTGAGATAATTTGTAGGGCATATAGAATGCAAGAGTAGTAATTATACTGTGGCAGTTAACATTACATGCAATCCTAGATTCTCAGATGAAGTTCTGCACAGAGACTGCAGGTGCATAGCTTAACCAAGCCCTGATTCTTTTGGGGGGCCCTGAACCTTTTGAAATCTTTATGGTTGAAGAACCTTCAAGGGATATTGCAAGTTCACTGTAGCTCTTTGGTGAAGTATGTGGAGATGGAATGAGGCTTCTCAAATTAACTGATACCTCCTATGTCACTTCTTCCTGGTGCTGGAGGTGCTAACATTATTATAGGAAGAACTGATGATATTTGGGCAGCAGCTCCACTTTAAATAGCTGCAGCAATTGTGGGAACAGTGAGCAAATCAGTTACTAGTTCAAGAGTTTTGTGTATTAGTTTCCATGGTTCCTGACCATGCAGCATAAACAATATATGAATCATGAGAGAAGTTCTTCAATGTGATAAATTGCATAATACTGAGCCACACTGGCTGGAAATGTTTAGTAACGTCATTGGGCCAGGTGTACAGTTGGCAACAATCAATATTAGCAGAGGTGGATCCAACAGTGCCAGATTATTTCTTCCAAGAACTCAATTTTCTTGTTGTTTCTTTTTCCTACCAATTTTTACTGATACGAAACAGCAGAAATCAGATTGTATGCCTGCTGGTAGTCCTGAGAGCAGCATCTCATGCCACCTAGTGGGGTCAAGAATCTTTGCTCAATTTGCATACAGCAGTCCATTTGTTTGGATGGGGTTTATGATTGCTGCAGAATAATAGCAATATGACAGACTGCCATTTTTGGCATTCCTCATTCAAACCACTTTGAGAAAAATCTCCAACTATTATATGTTGTTATTTGCAATTCTTCCTGCCTGCAGCAATGCAATCTACAGTGAAATAAGTTGGGCATTTGGGGGTCTGTAACCTTGGGAGAAGAGTTCAATAGAGCACTCAATGCTTCAGCTCTCCTTCCCATAAAAGGAGCCAGAGATGGCAGAGAAAATAAGGTTCTGGAGAAAGTATAAGTAGCAACTTTCCCCTTTGTGCATAGATAGTATTGATTCAACAGGCTTTGATAGTGTCCAGTAGTAATATAGGCATTTTGAACACCAACAATGATGATCTCATTAAGAATAAGTAAGAATGAAATAAATAAGGTGGAATCAGAAGGAATAAAACAGCCTGCTTTGCGCTATAACTCAGAAGAGATTTTGTCTGCTTGGCGTCTCCTAATAGTTTATGGAAGGAGAGCGAGGAAAGACAGATTTCCTCTGTTTTGTCCCTAATGTTGTCCTTAATTTCTTTTTATATTTTTCTTCCTCTTAGAAAACTAATACAATGTTTCTAATGATTTTCTGCATAAAGGAATCACTTGGCAGTTGCATATTAGGTGATTCAATTTTATTTTAATTTTTACTAGTTGTTGGGTAGATTGCATTGTACAGAAATGCAGTTTCATTCTTCTTTTTCAATCAGAGAAAAAAACAAAACCATGGTCTAGGCCAGCTAAATAAAATGTATGTAGTGTTTCCTAGAAAGCCATGTCTAAATCCCAGCAATTATTAAGAGCGCTAGAGGATGTGTGTGTGTGTCTATGTCTATGTATGTGTGTATTGTATATATGCATACACACACTCTCCTATGATAGTTTTATGTATGACCGATCATTATACATAAAATACACAATAAAAAAAGAAAAGACATTACTAAAAACATATGGGATTCTTTCAAAGAGTAATGGGTCTCTTTGGGTAGATTAGCCCTCCAATTATTTTAAGATACTTCCTTACTTCATTGTTTAAGAAATCAACCCTATTCAACACACAATCACATTTATTTCAGCAAGAACGAAATCTCAAAGAATGAAAAAAATCCCTACTGAATTCACAGATCAAACCCTTATTAAACAGATAGGAATAGGCTGGCAGAGAACACATTTTTGCTACAGTACTTGCAACATCTGCTACAACATCTGCAGATATCAGAGGGCTTGCTGAGCCATCAAGAGGTGTCCCCACTCCCTAAATAAATAAATATTTCCAAAAATCATAAAAGATTTGGCAAACTTTCATCAATCTCATGTGAGATATTGAGCATTCACAGAAAACTACTGAGCTGCAATACTGAAATCTCACAAGATGTTGCCATTCTCCACTGAAATAGTGTGAGTTTTAGTGTTTTCTCCTGAGTTCAAATCATTTAATTTTGGGGGGAGCTCAAGCCATCGTGCAATACATCCAGGTCCAGAAAAGATTGCTGACTTGTGACCTGTTCAACAGCTAAACTTAGAATGCATTCAAGAAGTGGAACACTGAGTTTCAGGAAGAGAGCTCGCAATATTTATTTCAGTGAAAAATATTTCAGTGAAAAATATTTCAGTGAAAAATTGCTAAAAAATAAAAGATGTCCTGCAAATGTGATGAACTGTATTCATGAGAAGCAGATAATGATCCCAGAGCCACACTCTGACTGTTTCTTATGCCTTTTGATTTCTGATTCTTATGCTTTTTCTATTAGGGAAAAAATTGGTGAGGGGAAATTCTTGTGCAAGTTGGCAATGGGGTTAAAGCACAGATACTATACCAATATAAGCATTTCCTTGAACAAAGAAGCACCAACACTATACATACATCTTACTGAAATAAAATATGTTGTTGTTGTTTAATATCATTTGCCATAAGGTTGGTGTCAATTCATTGAAGCCAAACAGATAGAACTTCTCCAGGATGATATCTCCCCAACTTGGCCCTTCATGACTTCCAACTGTGCATCCATCATTGCTGTAATTGAGTCCATCCACCTTGCTGCTTCTTGCCCTCTTCTTTACAGGTACTGCCTACAGTTCCAAAAAGAAGTCAAGGATGGCTGCAAAGTTTGCATGGATATCAAAGATCAGAAGCCTGGAAAAGCAGAACATTCAATAAAAATAAAAAGGTGTATTTTGTACTGTATACCTTTACTTAAATTAGGAAGTATAAACTTGAATTTATTTCAAAATTCGCATTGGAAAGATAAGCATAGATTTATGCTTAGGACTTTTAGAAGCAGAGAATTCTGATCCAGGATGCAGAACCAGCTTTATGATGATACCTCAATCTCTATATTTTATTATCTAGAAAGGGATATGTGATTTTTTTTTCTCCTTAGGTTCTAAAGTGAGTTTCCTTAAATACTGTATCTGAATTAAACATTACATTTTTTCAGTGTTCATCCATGGGCTTTTTCTTTAACAGAAAGTTTAGCTAAAAAGGATGCAAAACACTTACTTTAGATTAGTTCTAATTTTTATTTTATGATCTCGCATTGTAAGCCATCTGGCACTTCCCGATACATTCAGTTCTTATAAATGATGGCACACACGTGCCTCTATCTGTGATTTTTATTTTTAGCCTTCACAACCTAGTTCTATTTTTTGCTAACTAAAGCCTTGTTAAGAAGGGGACATTGTGGGAGGACAGAAGAGCAGGTAGCTGGAGAAGGTAAGCAGGTATTGTACAAAGTGGGGGCAGGTGGTGCATAAGGTGCAAAAAGGTATGATGCTGTTTTGGATGAAGTGGAATATGGATTTCATATAGGTAACAAAAAGATGATGCTGTTAATTGTCTGGGTGGAGCACAGCCATTCTGATGACACCACTCGCTCTCTGCTTCATCCTCTTGTGATCAGTAAAGGAGATTACCTAAAATAGTCAGAAAAGCAAGCACAAAGACTAAACTGGCAAAACTGGCATTGTCAATAAAAATATAATTGTGGAAAGTGAAATACCAGCACTTGAACTATTATTTCTTTGCTCCCTTCCCTCCAGAAAACAACTGTCAGCTCTGAAAGAAGCAGTGGTCTGTCCTCTTCTCAATAAGCCATTGGTGGATCTAACAAAACTGGATCAATTTTCACCTGGTCTGCAAGCTTTCCTTTTGGGAGAAGCTTGTTGAGAAGATGGTAGGCTTATAGCTCTAGAACGCCTGAAGGAAGCAGATTATCTGGACCATTTTCTGTCGATTTTTAAGTCAGATGATAGTACTGTGATAGTATTCATCACACTGGTTAATGACCTTTGGTGGGTTCAGGATGGAAGTGGTGCATCCATTCTGGCCCTTTGGATCTCTCAGTGGTTTTCAATCTTATCAATCATGGTAGCCTTCCGGACCAGCTTAAGGAGTTGGGACAGCAGGGGGGAGCTTTAGCAATTCTCCTCTTTCCTTCAACTCTGGTTCCAGTCAGTGGTATGTCTGTGTGTGTGTCTGTGTCTGTGTGTGTGAAAGGTCCAGCTCTAGATCCTCTGCAAAGCAGGATGCCTCAGAGCTCTACCTTTTCCCTATTCTTATTTAACAACTATACAAAACTGTTGGGTGAGGTTATCCGTCAGCACAGGTTTAAGTATATTGATGATACTCAGCTATATATCTCTTATCATGAACTAACCAAGTGATGCCATCAATATTTTTCCCAGTGTCTGAAGGCTGGGAGGATCTGGATGCTAAACCCAAACAAGACTGAGTGGCTGTGGATTTTAGGGGCCCCCTGGATCTGATGACTCTGTTTTTAGTTCTGTATGGGAATATTCCTTAGACAGAACTGGTTGTAATTTGGGGTACTCACAGCTTCTGCTTGGGGAGCAGGAGGTAGCTGGGCCAGGACAGCCTCTGCACAAATCCATATTGTATGGCAATTAAGCCCATTCCTGAATCAGGAGGCTCTGTTCATGGTCATTCATGCCTTAATTACATCCCGGCTGGACTATTGTAGTGCATTTGATACTCTTTCTGTGCTTCTAAGTGGATTTCTGGATTTCAGTTATGTGGATAAGGTCCAGAATTTAAAGATCTTGCTGTGCACAAACAGCAGACTAAACTACCACAGTAGAATTCACTCATCCTAGAATGATATCCATTGTTTTCCATTTCATGGGAGTGTTTTTCCCCCTCTTTCATCAAGCTAACTCATGTTAGACAAATCCATTAGAAGAAGAAAAATATCTTAGCATATATGCTAAATGTAGTTGGCTTTCGATATCCAACTAAGCTAAAACCAATCAAACCATATTATGTGATATGCTCCAATATATGCTACTCCAGCACTACACATTTTTTCCCAGGATATGGGGCCTCATTGGCTGTTGAATGAGATGCTACAGCTGCATATCCAACCAAAGGACTGGCCAGGACGAGCACTAAATTTGATTTAATCTAACTTACAATTAATTACATTTAACCTTAATTAATTTACTTAATGTGATTGCTGTTCTGTCATGTATTTAATAATTTCCTCTTTCAGCCCCATTAAAATTGCAATTTGGTGACAACTTTGGAAAGATCTCTGGGGGCCATCTTCAAAGTCTTTGAGGAGCCACATACAATCTAGGGTTTTCTTCCTCAGGGGTAATGGCACTTTTAGTCGTGTACAGTATATATTGGAAAATGGTGTGGGGGTGTGTGGGGAGAAATAAAGGTTTGAATGGCTGCATGGCAGACTCCATTTCTAATGTTTTTCTGGATAGCTCTGGGATGTAATATTAGAATGGCACCTTTTGTGGCAGCAGAATATAATCAACCCTTTCTTTTTCATTTTTCCAAATTAAGCATGCAGACAAAAATAAACCACTGAATCTTGCCTGCCTGCCAGAATTTTTTTTTTATATAGGTATGTGCTACATAATGAAAAATATTATACCGTTGGAGAGTTTTAAGTTTTTTCCCTGCAACAGAGCTATTACCTAAACTTATTTTACGGAGAATTTTCGCGTGATCATGCACAGACTTAGATTCCTAACAGCAGGGTGCACTCTACTACAAGAAAAACAAACCGACAACCAACTCTTTCTGGTTCTTGTATATTTGGAATGATTTCTTTCAAACAAGGGTCTGTTACTGAACGTAGCTATACCGGATGCAGGCACTGTATACTGCTATGATAGAAATGCTGTTGATTTGCAAGACCGAACCCCCCTGTTCTGGTTAGACAGATTTGTGACTATTGAGCAATTATGTGCATGGTTAGAACAATGCAGGGGGAGAGATGGGCACCCTTGAAGAGCTCCTGCGTTAAGTAGCACACCCACAGCTGCAGCAGAGGATTTCATCTTGCTGGGCGAGGAACCCTTTCCCCACCAGGGAGCACGTGCATTTGCTGCACTTGAAGCAGTCGCTGTGCCATTGGCGGTCTTCAAATGAGATGAACTTGCCTCCTCCAAGAGCTAGAAAGAGAAAACAAGAGATGAGATCGTGGGATCGTATGGAGTTTTCAGCAGATTAAAAAGTGTTTTGCTTGCACTGTAATGAGCAGAGTTCTCCCTTTTCTTCTGAAAAATCTGACACAGTTCAAAATCTGAGAGAAGCAATTCATAGTTGAGATAAATTACTCATGTAGGGTTTTTTTGTTTCTTTGTTTAGGTATTCTGGCTTGAAAACACATGATCTAACACTGAATTACTGTGTTCTCATATGCCTGGGTAGTTCATTTTTCTCTTGAGAGATACAGATTCTGAAAAAGGAAGGAGTGCTACACCGGGACAGTGATTTCTAGGCATTTTGCCACAAACTCCCCACATTCACAGGCAAAAGCCTGCTTGCTGTCTCCACACCGTCTCCTTCCATGCACTGACATGAGGAATGGCTAAAACTGGTTAACTGAAGCATGTAAGGGATAATACAAGTAACAAAATTCAGCTAACTGACAATGGTGAGCAGATTTTGAGGGATAGTTACTGATGAGCCTGCATGTGCTGTGCTAAATGCAACTATGATCCTGCACAAGTATTTCAGTGAGAAAAGTGCAAATAAGAAATAGGATTATGAATATCAAAGAGCAGGATTTCATCAGGCTGGAGACCCATTCACTTCGATTCTCTTAGTCATCAGAGATTTCTACTGAAGACTATTCTTGACCAGCAAGTTTGTGGTAAGGGTTGTTATAGCATGGGATACATATTATAATTCAGGTGGCAAACACCCAATTTTGGATAAATTTTTAGTACAACATTTAGTTTAGAAATCCCTTTACAAATGAAGGGAATGGGAGGCATACAGTGCATAAATGCATTCATACTCCTTATCTTATTTTGCCAAAACATGGGAACTCTTATGGTCCCAAAGATGAAAATGTGTGTATGTGGGGGTGAGAATATTTGTTTAGTCCCTGCATTTTCTGAGTGTTCACATGGTTGTAGAAAGTTTGAGAGAGCCTACATTAGCACTTCAGCTTAGCATTAAAACAGGACTCCCTCATCCTTCTGGTCAAGGCATGTATCTGACTTTCTAACACACTCATCACTTCCTTTCTAACCATTTCAGTGATCAGAATTTTTTTTTTTCCTAAAAAGGGACTTGATTTTTGAACATGTATAATTCATTGAAGGATTCAGTAGGCTTATACACTCCACAAACAGTGACAAAGTGCTGATCAATATGTATTTTGAACCTAGTGACAGATACTGCGGAACCATCAATATATACATATGTACCTTCATGTTTTCTTTCAATGAAATGTTTTGGTGGTTTGGAACTGTTTATATTTTATATTCTTATATAAGCTATTAGAAGGAACCTTCTGAATTGAAAGAGTCCTCCTCTCAATTTTAATTGTTAATAGTTACCAATCATGAATGTGTTTGGTAAAATAGGCTACTCATCTAGAGCGTATAACCTAGTTCTGGTTAGCCAGAAAGGCTCATTTATATGAGACCATAATACAGCCATAACCAATAGCCTTAAATTAGCTTTCAAGCTGTATTGGAAATGCCACCCATATATGTATTCATATGAGAAGGAAGAGGTTAGCTGTCATAGTTGATTAAATTTCCCACTTCTTTTTTTATTGGAAGTATTAATAATTAACTGTCAGTGTTATTCCTCAGTACTGGGGCAAGTGGTCATTCAATTTATTTTTAGGATATCTTGCTAATAGTCTTAAAATCAGGGACAGAGCAATGGCTACACACATGGCTTTTCAATATCCCACCATCTTCATAGCTCCCCCAGAACAACTCTCACTCCCTAAAGGCCTTCCTTTACTTGAGATTCACTTATGAATCATTTTCATCATTTGGATCCATGAAAATGAATCTCCCATCCCATCCCATCCCATCCCAATTTCCACCCCACCATGAACCTCAGCCTAGACCTCTCTACAAAGCAAGTGCACTTCCTTGATGTTACTATACTAATTGATGTTAGAGCTGTAAGGTTAGACCAGATCAGGAAACTCCACAGGAAGACTGCAACTATACTTCATTGAAATAGGTTAAAATAACAGTCTTGCAAATCTGCCTGTGTCTTCTCTTCACTCCTTCTTATCCTCCATGATGTTGGGGATGGGAGCTAGTCTGAGACTCTTTGTAATTCTCTCCTGCCTCTCTGGATTTAACACGTGTTTCTTCTGCACCTGATGTTTTCCTAACATCCTCTGGATTCCTTCTCCAAGGTTGTCTCCCTGCCTCCCTACACCATAAAACTGTACAATGGACACATAAATACCACATTATACAGGAAATCTACAGATTGCCATGCATCCCTACATACTTCTAGCTTCCATCCAGAATACACGATCAAATCTATCACCTATAACCAGATTCTATGCTGCAACCACATTTGTTTTGACCCACATAACAGAAATGACCACCTGATTGAATTAAGCCAGGGATTCAGGAGACTAAACTACTCAACCAACAAGATCACTTCCCAGAGAAAACAATAAATGATCATCTGCCCATGCTTCCAAGATTTAGAGCATCAAAAGTAGCCTCGGTATTTTAGTCCATGAGGTATAAAGTCCCTCAGGTACCTCACCCCTCCACATGGCTGCAAAAATGTAATAACCAACCACTTATTGCCATTGTGTTATCCCAAACCTGTTGCCTGAAGTTGCTGCCTTGTTCTTCCTGCTGGTAGAGTACCCTGCTCAGAGGCCTAGACTCGTAACCAATTAGTAGACTCATACGATTGCTTTCAGATTTGCAAGATTGATGTCAGCCTCTCAGGTAGACCAGACAGGAAACACAACAAGATGAACTAATTCTACTTTATTGTAAGGCTACATGAACAGAATCTTGCAAGTCTGAAAGTACATATCTCCTGCCATCCCTTTTTGATCAGTTACAGCAGATCCTTTCTAAGTTTCTTTCTGTGCCCGTTAGTTGCGGGCTTCTCCCCTTTTATCTGATCATTCCCTAAGCAGCATCTCTTCCCCCCATCTTCCAAGGTCATTCTCACATTCCATTCCAAGTAGAGCTTCTCTTGCATTCTAAGAAGCACACAACCCCCCATTGATAAAAACAGCAACATTCCTTCCTCAATCCTGCCCTTCCTCCAGCAAGTAATTCAGTTGAATTTGCCCATCCCTTTCCACTCTAGATTCCAACTGTTGGTAATGAAACCTATAATGTTGTGTCAGACACAATGGAAAGATTAAGGCTGTGATTTCTAGTGCCACTACATATTTCAGATTGCTTTCTATCTAGCTTGAATATCATTTAGTCATATTCACAGTGGAAAATTGTGACATTGCTATCTGATCATATATACTTTCATGATGTAAGGAATGCAAATTCCAGCTATGCCTACAACAAATTTACTTGTCCCAGGACTGTCAAAATGGAAGATGTTTATAGGTAACAAGATTATGAACGGTCACCAGTAATGGGTTCGGTGCAGGCTGCACATTTCTTTGCAAAGTGTTTCCTGAAGCACTCCAGGCAGTAAGGATGTTCATCTTTGGAAATGAATCGATGTCCTGCAAGCTGCTTCTTACATCCAGTGCATAGAAAGCATTCCTTATGCCATGGCTGATCACGGTAAGTCACACCACCATTGGGGATCACCTAATATATGAGAAAATATCATTAGTGCCAAATGATGAATTGGCACATGGTTGTACCAAAATTACAGTTAACAATAATTACTGCTCCTTGATCAAATTTTGGAAAGAGGTAAATGGAACATGAAGGAAAGCACTATAGGTAGGCCTCATTTAGCAACCATTTGCAGTTATGACAGTGATGAAAAAGTAACTTTGTAATGAATCCTCACATTTACAACCTTTGCAGATCTGTAAAGCAAAGGAAAGCTGAAGTAAGATCATGAGTACAGTTGTGGTTTCACTTATCAACCACTTTGCTTAACGACCAAGTTGCCAGTCCCAAGTGTGGTCACTAAATGAGGACTATCTGTATCATAGTCTCTAAACAACTTAACAATTTTGTAATTAATCTCTCCTTTTCTTCTCTCTAAGGCAGTAGTGAGGAAACAATAACACTCCAGCTGTTGGTAAATTATAGCCATTCCAATCAACATAGGCCATTGTGAGAGATGCTGGCAGCAGTTTAGCAAGATCAGGGGAGTTTCAGGTTCCTCTTTACTATTTTAGGGAGCTGTCATGAGGAACATCCTATGTCCTTTACATCACTGTTGGTAGATTTTGATGCTAAAGCCCATGCTACTTTAGCTTGTATCTAATTATTTGAAAACTTCTGTATGCATCTGAAGAGGCATGAGAACCCAACATACAAACCAAGATAATATGAGCATCTGGAACTTATGTATGGACCAACAATCTCTTTTAGTTATGTGTTATGCTTGTGGCACAGATACAACTAGTGCAACTACCAGGTGTGGCTAGTAATTTAGTCCACACCTCTCTTTTCTTGCTAAAAAGAATTATAAGGAAGCCTTAATTGACCAAAGTGATGATAGGTGGCCCAAGTCAATAGCTATGGGCGATTTCTTACTCTTTTGCTGCACTTTGCATAACATTGCCTACTCCGAAAAGGGAATAGTGTGATATCTACAGCTATATCATCTATTTATCTATAGCTACACCTTGTCAATATGTTCTCTCTCTTCACTCAACAATCATCAGATGTTATGAAATTGGTTTTTGAAATTCACTCAGATGTTATGCTATTTCTTGGGGTTCTGCAGGGTTTTTAAGACAGGTGTTTCTGTGCCATGTCTTCATGAGGTATTCTGGTGATATTTGCCATCCTGTGCTTTCTTCCATCAAGGAGAGTATGGAACGGCTAAGACAGACCTATGCTTGCAGGGGCTCAATTGAATTGTCTCCAAACACAACTGTCACAAGGGGCTGATGGTGAGGTCTGGATGGAGGCCTTTTACCCAACCTGATGGATTAAATTAGACCTGGGAGACAGTGATTCCCTCTTCCTGCTCTAGCGAGGACTGCCTTTTTGTAGAAGAGAATAGAGGTTTTATCTCCCACCACAGTACCAAACCAAAGCCACTGAGACTTCCCATAAAAATAAACTTCCATAAAAATAAACAGAGATGGTTCTGAGACTGCTTCCATTGAAAGCGTTGAACAGAAAGAAAAAGCACATGGAGAATGCAGAAATGTGATGGCTGCTTTCTAAGCTATGCTTAAATAAATGGTGGGTGGCTATTTAAAGTACCATCTTCTGATTACTATTAGAAATCAGACAGCCCAGGTCGTGTTGTGGTTAAGATGCTAGACTGGCACAGGGAGACCCAGGTTCAAGTCTACCCTCAGCCACAGAAACCTACTAGGTGTCTTTGGGTCAGTTTCTCTTTCTAAGTCCAACCTACCTCACAAGATTGTTGTTCTAGGGAAAATGGGAGGAGGAACTACTATGTATGGAATGACCAATATACCCTTGCTACGCAAAACATTTGAGCAGGTGATAGCTAATCAATTCCAGGCTCTCTTGGATGAAACTGATTTTTTATTATCCCTTTCAGTCCAGTTTCAGGCCTGGCTATGGCACAGAAGCTGTCTTGGTTACCCCGAGTGATCACCTGTGCCAGGAAAAAGACAAAGGGAGTTGGTCATCCTGAACGCCTCAGCAACTTTCAGTCCCATCAACCACAGTATGCTCCTGGGCAGGCTGTCAGAGTTGGGATGTGGGTGCACTGAATTACAGTGAATTCTGAATTCTGGTCATTTCCAGAAGGTAGTGCTGGGGGATTACTGTTCTGTCTCATGGCAGTTGAACAATGAAGTCCCTCAGGGCTTCATTTTATCCCCTATGCTTTTTAACATCTACATGAAACCACTGGGAGAGGTCATCTGGGTATATGGGCTGAAGTACCATCAATTTGTGGATGAGACTCAGATCTACCTCTCCTTTTCCTGTAACACAGGTGAGGTGGTTGGCATTCTGAACCAGTGCTTGGGCATGTTGAAGAATTGGATGAGGATCAATAAACTGAGACTTAGCCCAGATAAGACAGAGATACTGTTGTGAGTGGTGCATCTGTTCAGCTGCATGAGGCCCTGCCTGTCCTGGAGAGGTCAGCACTCATCCTGAAGGAGCAGGTTTGTAATCTGGAGGTGCTCCTACATCCATCATTGTTACTAGCGGCCCAGGTGGTCTTGACAGCATGGAGCTTCAACTGATTTATTAACTGTGACCTTACCTGGACAGAGACAGCCTTGCAACAGTTATTCACACTCTGGTATTTCCCATTTGGATTATTGCAAAGCGTACATGGGGCTGCCATTGAAAAAAAGTGAACTAATGAATTCCATTAGTTCAAAACAGAGTAACTAGACTGCTCACTGGGATTGGCCAATATGAGCACATTATGTCAGTTCTTGTCTTCTATGCTGGGTGCCGGTTCATTTCTGGGCCCAATTCAAAGTGCTATTTTTGACCTTTAAAGCTCTAAATGGCTTAGGACCAGGTTGTCTGAAGGAGAGTCTTCTCCCATATGTACCTATGCACTTGGACCTTAAGATCTTCTAATGAGGCCCTTTTCCAGATACCCCCACCAAGGGAGGTGAGGTGGGCCTCTAACAAGAGGAAGAGCTTTTTTGGTAGAGACACCACATTTATGGAATTCCCTCCCCAGAAAGGCTCGACTGGCACCCACATTAATATCATTTAGGCACCAGCTGATGAACTTTCTATTTTCCCAGGCATTTTAATTGTTTTTTTTTAATTTGTATCATTTTAGACTTTGAATGATTGCATTGCTGCCGTCCAGTTTGTATGGTGTTTTTGTTCTGTATCTTATTTCATTTTATTGTATATGCTTTTATTCAAATTGTAACTTTTAATTTCTTATATTGTAAATCACCTGTTGAAAAAAACATTTAATAAATAAACATAATTTTTTTAAAAAAATGTATACTTCCTTGAGCTCCAGACAGAAGGTAGGATATATATCTAACAAAGTCTCACTGTGTTCATAGAGTTTAAATAAGTGCCTGAAAAGCCACTGCGCGGCCTCATACCTTCTCTGCTCCCTGCTCTTATTTCCATTCGCCACACTACCTTTTTGCAGGAGTAGCAACACTGTGCAAATTGCTTCTCATAACAGGGCACGCAGTAATTGTCATCATCCTTGGTAATCAAAGGTTTCGTTCCTAGCGGTTGCCGGCAGAACTGGCAAACAAAGCAAGCTTCATGCCAACAATTGCCTTTAAATTCCATTTTACGAGAACCTGCAAATTGAATTGCAATTCCAGTTACTTTCCTGACAAACAGTTCTTATTTTATCAAGATGCACTGAAACACAGATACTAAGGTACTCTTTCTTTACCAGTTGAATATAGCACAGCAGCACGAAGAACATAATCTTGTCAATAAATATTTTCTGTCAAGATTCTTTTGCACTATAAAATTTTTCACAGATTAATCAAAGGATATACACATAACTTATTGGAATGGACATTAATGTGTTAATAAAAAGCAGAATAATGATACAAACGAGTGTCCCTACAGTTTATGATGTTTGGTTCAGTACATTTCTTCTAACCTTCTTTTAAGTTTCTTCAGATCTCAGACTTCTAAACTGTGGGATTTTCCTGCTTGGAAAAGGCTGGCGGCTACTTTCTGCAAGTGGCCACTCTTTGCACTACAGTTCCTTTGGTTTCCAAGGCACCACTTATTTTTTTTGGTGCCTTTGAGTCTCTGCAGTTTTCTTGGCAAGATTTTAGTTTGCCATTGCCTGCTTCCTAGGGCTGAGAAAGACTGACTGGCCCAAGGTCCCCCAGCTGGCTTGGTGCCTAAGATGGAACTAGAACTCAGAGTCTCACGGTTTCTAGCCTGGGGCCTCAACTGCTACACCACACTGGTTTCCAAAGCACCACTATCGTGGTACTTTTCTGCATCCTTCATAACTGCAGATGTGTGGACACATGGTGAAATTATTGATTAGATTTATATGCTGCCAACTCAGATAGACCTGTGGCAGCTTACAACAAATCCACAGTAAAACACACACACACACACACACACACACACAAATGATGACAATTGAAATGTCCATAGTAGCAACCAATACCCAATTAAAACTTCCACTTTAATTATAATTTAAGCAGTCCACACGATTGACCACATTTACACTGTGATCTAGGGCCATGACTAGTGCTTAATATCATAACAACAGGATAAATAAGTGGCATTTTAAATACCATATGTTTTATCATCTGAATATATACCAGGGCTAGAAATCTTCTTTGCAGCTTCAGGCTGCACGTTTTTAAGCTCCTAAGGGGCACAGAAACTGCAACAATGATGTAGTAAGATTCCTGCTGAGGGGGAAATCCCCACCTTATGTACTTGCATCAAGTACGAGTCACTGTTTAATGCATGCTTCATCTTTTGTCTCTCCCCCCCCCCTCCTTCTGCAGTTATCCATGAGGAGGCTGCAGCGTTGCACGCAAACGAGGGGGTTGCTGCAATATTGTCTGTGGCCTGCCTTCATCCTGTTTCTAGTGCGGACACATGCCACAGAACTTCATTTGTCAGAGAAAGGGGAGGTTTTGCTCTGTTTCAGAAAATCTGCAAACTACATGTGCAACTTTATTGCTGCTATAAATATAAAGAGGGTTGGATACTCATACTTTGTGAGGGGATGCTGAAAAATATCTTTCCTCTTGCCCTCCCCAGGAATTACAGGTATTATGTTCACCCGTCCCTTGAGATCAAGGAGGAAATAGGGAAAGGGTTACAATACGGGTTCTGTAGTTTTGGGACAACTTCCTCAGAATCACTTCAAGCTACTAATACTGTAATAAATGTTAGGATGGACACAGTTCACAGAGCATATCAAAACCACAGCCATCTAGATGCTGAACATACAACCCTGGCAAAACTGGGAGAGTGAGTGAGGAATAGCTTCAGAAGAATGAGGTGGGAAGTGCATTGTATTAAATGAGGATATGAAACTGATGTTGCCACACACACACGCACACACTCGTATAGATGATTATTTGCTTTCAATTTCTATTTTCTAAATAAAATAATACAATAAATGGCAGCAAAAAATTCACAGACAGCAGTTAATTGGAACTTTCCAGGATCGTTGCTTCAAGGAATGGAGAAACCATTGTTTGAAACTGCTGTGCAAGGGAGACCTTGCAAAGCAGAGGAGCACAGATAATTAGAACAGTTTTCTATATATGCAATAATTTTAATATAAGCAAAGCGTAGTGAAAACAATGCGTTCCTAATCAGTTAGTGAATTAAGTATCTTTTTTTAGACACCAGCACTGCATACTGAGTCAGTACAGAATGACTTCATTCTAGCTTCAGTACTGTTTTACCTGTACCAGTACATATTTTTATGAGCTTTTTATTCTTCATTTTATTCCTTTGAAGTAAGAGAGGAAGAACAATCATGGATACGTTATGAACTGAAACCTGTCTCTGTGTTGATGTATCAGTATTACTAATCCAAATCAACATAAGTTAATAATGTGTTTATCACTGGTTCCTTGGGAATCCATTGTTTGAAGTAAAATTAAAGTAAGCAAAATAGCCTTTTTTCTATGGAGAGAAAGAATGGGCCAAGACCATTTGGATTAAATACACACACAAACACAAACCCAGACTTCAGCAAGCAGTGTTTGATCTTCCAGAGTTGTTTTAGGGAAAGGACGTCCCATGGCATTCTAGTATCAGCCACTGCCATTTGGCAAACTTCAGTGGCAACAACGGGACAACTCAACTCTGAAATGTAGCTGGTGGGTGTGGGTGTGGGTGTGTATAGGCTTCAGAGTGTAAGTGGACACTGCTAGAGAGAAATGGTGTTACCACTGGAATGGAATAGTGGGGAGCATTTACATCCCTGAAGAATAATTTCAATTACAATTCTATTAGAAGAAAAGGTACTTCAAAACTGCACGGTTCTGCATTGTGGAGACTAGATCAGCAGTGACACACTCTACAGAAACACTGGCCAGTCATTTCCCATTATACTCACCTCTCCTGAATGCCTGAAAGAGGAAGGACTATTAATAGGTTGGGGGATGGAAATAAATAGCAGATCCCCTACAACGGCATATGGTCTGTGCAATGCATATACCATGAAGCATTCACCTGAAAAAGCCCTTGGAAGAAAGAAGAGCTTTTCACTTTCCCCCATAATATTTTTCCTTACCAATCTCCATGAATCCATTTTTCAAGGTTAAAGTGGTATCCCACTCTTTTGATTTATTTATCCCCATTAAGGAATACCCATCTCCAGCTCCCTATTATCTTACCAGGCATAATAGTCCTCTTGCAGTGAAAGCACTTAGATGAATACTCATTAGAATAACATGCTGTACACAGCAGGAGCTCGTCTTTAGCTGCAAAAGGCTTCTCAACCAAGGAGTGATGGCATTTGGCACACTTGAAGCACGTTTCATGCCAGTGGCAGCCTTTATAAGCAAGTTCCTTGGAGAGAGTGAATTCATGTTAGTAAAAAAGCATTGACTTCCCAGATTTCAACTGGACAAAACTATGAGCTGTTAGGCTTCACAATTGTCAACAATGACCTGAAAGATAGTTTATCTGAGCCTGATAGATTATCCTGTCCTTTATTCCTCTTCTGTCTTTCTTTCTCCCTATGATGTTCTCAAGAAGATTGCATATTTACCACGATCTGCAAAGGAATCAATAATTTACTGTATATCTCTTAGGTTCGTGATGGTTTTATGTTTTAAATTAGTACCTTCCCTGCAAAGGACTCATGAAGAAAGTATGCCTCTGCACCCCAGTTACAGCAGACTTAAAATACTGCGTTCAGCTATTAGGCAGAGTGAGGCTTCTGCCTTGAGCAACAGATGGTTGGTAGCTGAGAGAGGAAGGAAATGGGAGAACAGCCATGCAACCTTCTTGACACCATTTAATCTACCGTTCTGCCCTCATTCTGGTTCTTTTATTGCTATGGTGCTGAGATACAGCTGGTCTGATCAGTTTTAATGCATGGAGTGAGACAAGGCTTCTGTCCTTGCTTCAGGTAGTAAAGTGACTGACTTCATTTTTTCTTGAAGGCTAAATTAGAAAACAAACACCTTTTGTGTGGTTCTGCCCTATTGGCTCCAGTGGAATTTACAAAATAATAGATATCATCTTCGCCACCATCTGACAAAATTAGTATGAGGAACATAATTTTTTTAAGAAGAGGCAGATGAAGATCAGGCTCCCTACAACTACCCATGGTAGTTCTAATCCAATTTGGCCACTCTAGATTCACAAGAAATTAAGTAACTGCAATTAGAAACTGGATCAAGATAAAATATAATTTGTGCTTTGGCTACTCTGGTCCTAATGGGCATGGAGTTCCAAAGGTTTCTTCTCCAAAGCTTTCTGGAGATTCTAGGGACTGAACTGTTTTCATGCAAAACGTCACCTAGACTTCCTCCTCCTCACTGTCTGATTTCACTTGATGATTTTACAATTATGATTCATTATTATTTATTCAATTTAAATATCCCCTTTCTAATCAGAGGGCAATCAAGGCAGCTATTCATTGCTGGTGGCTGGTGTCCATGTGCATATGGGAGACAAGGGGTGAATGCGTGTCTGTGTGTGCATCTATGTTTAGAGAGACTGGATGGAAAGACTGAGGCTGCCACTCCTCCTGATGGATAATTTCTAATAATTAACCATAGACGCACGAAACTGGAAGGACGGAAGAAAGGAAGGAAGGCATTGCTGAAGTACACTTTGTTCCAGTGAAAATTCTGATGAAACCTGAAAGAAAAGGTGGAGCCAAAAAACCCTCCAAAGATGTAGTTAGTTTATTTAGGATTGCCCCATTCCTGGAACTGTGAGGTATAAGAGATAAATCCAAAAATTAAATTGTCATTTAGCAAATACAGTATTTTATTCCAAACACACCAATCTTTCTCCCTTTTTCTTACTTTCTCTTTCTTAGATATCATGCTTACGTAGATAATGTTATAAACATAAAAATGATGAATGTCATTTATTTTCTAGTAAAACTCCCCTTAAATCTTTGCAGTTAAAACAGAGGCCATTGGCAATATAGAGGAAAGGAAGTCATTTTTCACTAGCTATTTGTCAGTGGAATTTATTTTAAAGGTTTTACTTGATCTTATCAATTGAATGAAACTAGGAATAGAAAAGGAAATCAATACTGTTATCTCTGTGGAATAAATTGTGAGAATAAAACAAGTACTTTTTAAAAAAGGGATACTAAGGGAGCTAAGATGTTGCACTGAGGTTAATGCAACTGTTTAACATCTTTCTAAAGCTTCTGCAGTCAGATGATGGATGAAACCAATCCTATCTGATCTGCAGGGAATCTACAAACCATTAAAACTCTCAGTATCTCTCCAGAAGCTTAATCACATGCTTGTCTTTGTATCTTTACAGAATCTATAGATGTTAATCTACGTGTGTGTATACAGTGGAGATAATCTTTGCTTTTCTTCTAATTGGATTATATAGTAATGCATCAGTGGATTATATATTAATGCATAGGAAAACATCTTTATCAGGTCATAATGAAGCCCTATCTCTGTGCTAGCAATATTAGAGATAAATCTTTATTTTAAGTTTTTATAATGGACAGTGTGTGGAATATCAGCAGCGGTTGCTTCTCAGCACAGGGATGGACAATATTGAATTCCATCTTTCATGATCCTCATTACTGGCCCTGCTGGCTGGGGCTCAGAAAAGTTCAATCATATCAGATGGGTGATACAATACCTAGGGAATAAAAAGGTGAAATTTGCAGCTCTCCAAATTCTACTTAATTCTGAGTAAGCAGCCTTGTGCAGTCAGGGGACATTTTAGAAATATTAAGAACTGTACTCTCACAAAATGGCTGCCATAGAGATTCTGCCTATTCAAAACTTAGTGGTTTTTGTGATGTAGTCAGTCAGAAAACTTACATTCACCAGGAGACAACTGGTGAAACTATTCCCTGCAGTCCCCTGTCCCCCTCCAGGATGCTCCCCATCACTCCTGCCTACTTTATCTTTCTTTCCATTTCTGGCAGGTGGAATGTTTCCAAACAAAATATCCATCCATGTTTATTATCTATTTGTCATAACATCTATGTACTATTCTGGGGTCCAAGATACACTTGGAAATAAAGATGGTATTAGAAGCTTGCACGTGGCCTTTAATGGTGAGCAGGTTGCTAGGAATTTTTGCTTAAAAAAAAGTGAGTGGTGAGCTTGCCAGGTGCTAAGATAAATATCCAGGGCCACACTGGTGCCCACTAGTGGCAGATTGCCAATCTCTAGGCTACTTTATTTGGTACAGCTACATCAGACAGTACAGAAAAAATAGATTGTGAATTACTAAATTAGTTGTCCAAATTAAATCAAATGTTTCCAAACCCTTATGCTCTCTGCTTACTCAAAACATGCTGAAAATGAACACATGAAGCTGAAAGATTCCAGGCTAGGAAATCTAACCTGGACCAGTTTCTATAGTTCATTAAGAAGAATCTCCAAATTATTACTGTAGAATAGACTCACACCACAAATAATAATTATGTAGCTCAGCCCCTTAGGTATCTTTTTCTATGGGAGTATAGATGGCCATGAAATTAACCAGTGCTTACCTTGGCATCACATTCAATGGGTTTCTGACATTTTTCACAAAAGTGAGCAAACAGGCTGTCATAGCATTTCACACAGAAAGCATTTTCTTCCTTCATGGTATATTGTTTTCCACAAAGTGAATCCTTGCAGTGAAAGCAATTTGATTGATCACTTGCCATTTTTAAGCCTTCTTGATGCTGCTGGAAGTGGAAAGAGAAGGCATATATTGGTGAAATAATATGGCTGCAAGTTCAAGATCCCTGATTTTGGAAGTTCTGCAGTCACAGCAACCCAGAACCTCCAGGTTCTAATACAGAGGGTGGAACAGTTTTAAATCTTGATGATCCTCATTGATGATTTTGGCAATGGCTTATGTTTGTCTTTTAGATTCTATTTTTTTTTCCTGGTCCTTTAAAATATAGAAATTAAACAACTTGTCAGAGTCAATTGTGATAGTAGAGACTTGGATCCGTGAGCAGAGGATTCTTTATGGATGCTAAATAATCCTCAATAGGACCAACTGAGATCAATAGAAAAGTGGCTGGCAGATTGCTATTAGGAGAGGCAGCATGAGGCATCAGCCTGCCAACCTTTGATCATTTTTAGAAGTGCTTCTCCAGAAAGATTAATTACCAGTCCATTGCAAATCTTCCTTATCCCAACCAACCCACACATGTGTATTTTTGGCCTATACAAACTGGGAAAAACATATTTAAATAAACATTCAAACTTTAAGATACAACAGAATCTTCCGAGGTTTGCAGGCAAGCTATTTTAGTCTTGTTATTTGCCCATTGGACCAGAAAGACTTTGCTAAAATTAGGACACGGGTTCCTGAGAATGAAGAAAAACAGAGTCCAAAAGAATTCCCAGTGAAGCTGATCACAAACCATCTGCTGGATTCATTGAATTCTCACTATTATGTCACTGTGCAACTCCTGCCTGTAGTATTGGGTCTATTATGGGCTTAAAGAAGAACTATCGGGGGGGGGGGACTTTTTCACATCTTTAGCACAGACGTGTAAACTGGTGCAAGGGAATGTGTTCTGGAATATGTCTTAGAACAAATAAACCAAATGAAAACCTCTGTTCCCGTCTTCTACTACTGATATTTCTTGATTTCTATATTTTTCTCCATGCAATGAATCACTGGTCACCTTCTAGTGCTGGCTGGATATTGTTTGAACTGATTTGCTGCCTTCCAGCTCATGGTTCATCAAATCCAGGACGGCTCATGTCAAATTGGCAGCATCCTTCAAATGCTTCCTTAAGCCCGAACTCCTTAAGGCACTGAGCTATGAATGTTGCATGCCAAATAGTTTCCTAAGATGGGGAGCACTCTGTCTCAGATTTAATGAGTCTTTTTTCTCTTTGCATCAAGATTCTTAAAAATATGAACATTAGACACAGTATTTTTTTTTAAATCAAAACAGACATGTAGCTGCAAATAAAGTAATTTTAGATTAGAGTTTTTGTGAGAAAGTATAATGTAAACATTTCAGTTTGTGGCAACTTATAATGTTAACCTAGAAATGCTAAATATATGGATTTGGCTGAACTATAGCTCAGGCCAGCTTGGTTAGGGATGAAGGATATCTGGAGTTGCAGTTCAGCAATATCAGGAATACCAAAGTTTTGACATGTGAAAATTGATTATTACTTATGTAATAATTAAATTGCTTACAATTATTACAGAATTATATTTAAAGTGTTTAAATATTATTTTATTGAAGACACTCAATGGACGCTCAATTTATTGAGAGGCTTGAAGATGCTCTCTCTACCTTTTAACTCTGTATATTTTTGTACAGATTGTTTTTTATCCTTTACTTGTAAGCCACCTAGAGTCACTTGTACAGTGAGATGGGCAGCGTATAAATTTTATTAATAAAATAAATAAAATTGCATATATATCCCATCATTTCTCTGAGAATGCAAGGTGGTTATAGAGGGGTTCCCAAATTATATCTTATCAGTAAGAACCCTGTGAGATATGGTAGGTGTGCAAAGAGTGTGGCTGGCCTATAGTCCTCCAGAGGGTTCCATGGTTAAGTGAGAACTTCAAACCAGATGGCCTTGATCCTCATACAGAACCTTAACTACATCACACTGGATTATAGTCTGCTAGTGTGCAATGATTATCACACTATTTGTCATTCAAATAGTGACCAACTAGGTTCTGACAGCCTGAGCAATTCTGAGAGTATTTCTTTCTTAGACGTCAGTCTGCCTACATGATGTCTATGTGCTATGCAACATTAAGTGACCAGCTCTTGTGTAGGACTTGGATGGTTCTAGAGTATCTGCTTCAATGCTGCTTAACAGCATAGTAGGGTGGTACCAGGAATTTGAAGAACAGATATAAGTAAAGGGCAGCTGAGGATAAATATAATTATCTAAACAAGTGCTTATTAGGTGAAGGAGAGAAGAGAGCTTCCTGCTACAAAAGGTAGTTAATGGGAGGTGTCGAATTATACTGAGGGATCCCAGGACAGGAGCTTCATTTCCTTGGAATAAAGAAGACAGGTATGAATTCATTCTGATTCTAGCCTTTGCAAAGCTCCGATCTTGATCTATTTCTACAGAAACCTCAACAATGCAAAGAAGGTTCTCAAAAGACAAGATTTCATTCCTTTGCACTAGACCCTTTCAATTTAACAGTCTGAAATTGGTTGGCTGTTTCCCACTATAGAAGCTGCTGTTGTTGTAGATCCCAATGTATGCAGTCTCCAAACACTAGTGTTTTCTTAAGAAATAGATTTTAAAGAAGTATAATTAATATATTTGGCAAGCTGTAGATTTTCTGAAAAATTCATCTCATATCAAAAAACAAAAAGGTTAAAGTCATTTGTGTTTTCCCAGCTAAACTATGGAAAAATAGAGAGACACCCCTTCCCATCTCTTTTTTCTGATTCTCTCTCTGGATCTTGAAAGTGATCATTTAATTGTTTTTCCAGTGCTGCTTTATTTCAGTTTTAATAATTCTACCAAGCAATTTTTGACATGGTGGATGACAGTATATAACTCTCCTCATTTTGTTGGCTTACTCTTGACACTAGTAGTTCTTCACTGCTATCAATTTCATTTCTAAGTCCCTGTTAAGTCTACTTCCTTCTTAGTCTCTCTCTCTCTCTCTCTTTCTCTCTCTCTTTTTTTGCCAAAATAGCACTAACTTGGTCCTTGGAATAGGATTAAGGGTGGAGCATGCAAGGAACTCTCACATGCACTTTAAGTTAAATTCCAATCATTCCTTGTTGGGCTGGGAAGGAGAAGAGACCAAATCCAGCCTCCTATTCCTGAATTGGTCATTGAATGACCATTCAACTTTTTCCAAAGAAAAGAAAAACCTTCATGCATATAACTCATCTGCTACTTCAGTGGCTGAGGAGTAAGCATAGAAAAGGGGGAAGGTGTATAAATAACTGAAATGTGTCACTCTACATGAGTGCTCCTTTAGTGCTGAATAGAACCAGTGCAAGAAACTAGCACATTATATAGCAGCTTTCCCCAAGGTGGTACTTTTCAATGGTGTGGAGACTACCAATATTGTCAATCTTTTCAATTCCTGGTGTCCAACACAACCCGTGTAGCGCATCTCCCATGGTAGTTCTGAATAGTTAACATGCCTTTACATACAGCATTAAGCTGTAGACAAGGATCTGATTTACCAGCATTGGTATCACTTAGTAGAACTGGAAAGAGAAGATGCAGATTCTCTCTTCCTATCAGGTGGGGATCAGTGTTTTCAAATTTGCATTGGTGAATGGGGCTGACCCTGGCTCCCAGATACAGGTTTTCATCTTTCTGAAAGTATATTGTCACTTTCCCCCCTCGTACCAAGCATATGAACCAAGACAATTCAGGTGGAAGAGAACTGCTTTTCTACATGGATCACCTTGCTGGGTTGAGACATACAATGTGGGAGACAAAGCCAGTTAGAAATTCTTTTCTCTCTCTTCGTGCCACACACAAACCATTTTTTGGTATATTATGCTCCACATCAACTTGCAAAAGAGGGGTACTTCTTGCAAGAAGTTTATCATCTCCTTTTTAAAACTTTTTAATATGGATTTCATCAATAGTAAAGTTGCTTTAAATTTGGTTCTCCCTGCCTGCAGATCTGTGCTGAACTGGGTTGGGATTGGTAACTAAATAACAAATATTATTGTCTAAATATATAAGCACATGCATGAGAGGTACAACCAATATAGAATTTTCTGGTAAAATGAGTTAGTGATTGAGAACTGAGTTTTTAATTCTATTCCTAAAGGATTTATGGTATGACAGCAAGGGGGAGTAGAAGGGGATGACATGGATGGAATGCTATCTCAGACCAAAAATAGCAATGGCTTTATTTGGCATAAGCAGTGGAAAATTTCTTACCCCAGCACATTCAGAATCATCGCATTTAAGTGCTTTGCCGCGTCTCCAACTGTGTCAAAGCTCTCTGCTCTCCAAAATGACAGACAACACAATCCATTAGAACAATCCCCAACTTAAACAAATGGGCCTCATACTTTCACAGATGTTTTTCACTGGTTTTAGATCATATTAGTGGGAATAGCGCCACAAATTCCAAGCACAGAGATAAATGTTCCAATAGGAACATTCCAACATTGAAATTCAAGTTGTGGGGACAGCAGCTCCATTGGAACAATTAAAACAGGAATGCTGAACTCCTAAGGGAAATTCCCTTATAATAAATAGACACTGTTAACTGCTTCAATCCTTTGCAAAGAAACATTATAGCTTATATAGCAAGGCTGATTCAAAGAGCATTGATTTCAAGAGTTTTATTTCCAGAAATGTACTCTGTGCATAGATTACAGCCATCCTATGGCTTCTTATTTTATAAATATTTGAAAGAGAACATTGGGTAGAGGATGGAAATCTGTGGATCACTTACCATCTTTTTTTGTTCAATTAATCTGCTGGTCACTAGAACTGTTAAAATATTCTAGATTAAAAGAATTTTGGTCTGATCCAACAAACTACTCTTTATGGTTATGAATTAAGAGTTCATAGCTGGAATCATTTAGCATAGATTTCTTGCCAGCTAACCATTTAAAGAACATCAACTTTTTCTTCTATACATTTAAAACCTGAAGAGAGAACCACAGGATAATAAACCATGCAGAATTCAATTAGTAGGGTTCACATATCATTCTAAGTTTGGTTTAGAGTGTTGTGTGAAGCCAGC